TATTATTGTTGTTGTTGTTATTGTTGTATTATTGTCATCTATAATTTATACAATTAACCTCCCTGTGGTTCGATCCGGTCTTGCTGGGTTATTTATTATTTCGACACTCTTGCACTTTGGAGAAGACATCAATCTTTTAGTCATGTCAGCGTATATAATGTTCATGATGTAAACTATAACATTTCAAAGTACAATAACCAAATGTAAGAAAAACCAAACAAGAAGACTATATATTCATGTGTGTTTGGTAATGCGATGTAATGTATTAGTGTATATTTTGAAAAACGCTTTAAAAAACAATTTGAACCACATTGCTAAATGATAAATGGAACTGAATTTATCATGTGCTAACCTAGATTACAAGACAATCAATTTATTTAAAATAATAAATATCCAAAGAAAGCATGTTTGATATTTAAGGTCAAACTTTACTCATAATCCTCTCTTTTTTAATCATTTGTAATTATTCTTCAACAGTTATTTTGAAATCTTACTCATAATTTTATTATTATTTTAATTTGAATTTGACTATCACAAGTATTTTTTTTACAAGATAATTATCTGACACTGTATTTCTTTTTTAATGTTAATAAGAGCCACATATTAATGTTTATTATTTATGATTATGCCTCTACTTAAGAATTTAAGAAAAAAAACCAAAACTCAGCGAAGAGTGTTGTCTTTTAACCTAATTATCTCTTATACTAAAAGAACTAAGATGAAACCTAACTTCTTTATTGTTCATATGAATATTGAAAAAGCTAGCCCCTCTTCTTATATATATATATATATATATAATATATATATACTTCCACCTTTTATTTTTTTCCTTTCAATTGAATTACTTTTTGTATTTTTTTAATTTTATTATTTTCTATGCTAAAAAACTGGGATAAAACTTCAACTCCTTCATTGTCATTATTAATATGAATAGTGAAAGAGTTGACCTTTTTTTTTCTTTTTTTTCCCTTTTTAAATCTCATTTCCATTTTTTTCTTTGAATTGAATATTTTATTATATATATATATATATATTTTAATTTTATCCTTTAATATTTTTTTGATTTTAAATTGATCTTCATAATTTATTTTAACTTATTTTTTATAAGGTTATTGTAATTCCAAACAAATATCTTGATATTTAGTTAATAATTAATTTTATAAATATCTATCTTTGTTATTATATTATTAAGTAAAAAATAGAAGTTTTTAAATCCATTAGAATCTATTATTTGGATCATAGTTTTGGTGGTTTAGGCTTCAAAGCCCAAATATCCAACATGTCATTTTGAATTTTTTTTGAAAGACAAATCGTATTTTTTACCAGTCATTTAGATTATTTTTACACTCACCAAGTCAACCGGTCATGTTGAGACAACTTTCATGCATGTTAATTTTAAATCTACGCTAAGTAAGGAGTTGAGTTCAGAGGTTTCAAGGTTGATATGTTATGTAGACTCCTTTTTCTTTCCTCTCTCTCTCTCTCTCTTTTAAAAAAACTTCCACCTTCCATTTTTTTTTTTCTTTTGATTAAATTATTTTTTACGTTTTTTTTACTTCATTGCTTTTTATAAGATTATCGTGGTTTTAAATAATTTTAAATTTATTGTCTATGTTTGTTATCACATTATCAAGTAAAAAGTAGTTTAAAAAACAAGGTTATTAAACTTGGTGAAGTTTATGATCCGGATTGCAGGTTTGATAAATGAAGCTGTGAAACCTGAGTTGATCTAATATATTTCTGTCTTAATATTAAAAAAAAGTTATTTTAATTTTTTAAAGTCAAACATTCTTTTTTACTAATGATCTAAGTTATTTTATAACATGTCTAATTAACTTGGTCATCTTAAAACAACTTTCACTAAAGTTAATTTGTAAACTTAGATAAAGAGTCATGTCAAATAATTTTCTATGATAAATTTATTTTAATGTTATTTTTTAATCTAATCCACAATCTCCCTGCCCGAAAAATAAAAAAAATTTATTTTTTACATTTGCTTTTGGTTTTCTCTTTCTTTTATTTTTATTTTTTTTACATTTATCTTTTAATATTAGGTTTGTATTCATTTTTTCTTTAAATTTTTTCTTTTAATATTTTATTGATTTTAAATTAGTCTTCACAATTTATTTTGGTTTATTTTTTATTATAATTTCAAACAAACATTATGATATTTGATTTGTGTTTAATTTTACAAGTTTTTATTTTTGTTATAGTATAATTGAGTAAAAAAATAGTTTTTTTAAATTATTAAATCTATTAGAGTTTATAACCCATGTTATAAATTTGATAGGTTAAATCACAAAACCCAAATTATTTAAATATAATTTTTTAAAAATATCATCTTGAATTTCTTTTTAAAGCCACACTATATTTTATACTATTTATTAGGATTATCTTTTAACATGTTAAGTTGATCAGGTCATGTCAAAATAATTTTCACATAATTTAATTTTAAATCTATACTAAATAAAAAAATAAATTAGTAAATTTCAAAATTAATCTATTTTATAAAGTTTAATAATAATGCTAAATAAATTTTTATTTGCGTAAACCTTGTTTTATAAGTTGAAAAGAATTTTAATCCATCCGACGTAAACTAGTCTTTAGAAAAAAGAAAGAATGCTGGGGAAGTTTTTAGATTTCTTAAGCTAAATTAATTTGTTAACGAAATTCCTTTTAATTTTGCTGATAGCAAGAGAAAGCATCAGACAATTTTTCCGTAAGTGATTGTTATTCCTCTGTGTCTAAAACAAATCTTGTCCGCCCGTTAGTGCCAAATAAAAAAAATGGACACCATTACTTTTAGTAAATGTGTCACCAGATGAAAACATCGTAAAACAAACTTAACCTAACTTCCAACTCGAGAAAAAGTAAGTGTCAACGACATCCTCTTTAGCGCCAATTTTATTTTATTTTATTTTTCACTTTTCACCCATTAAAAAATCCCCCCCTCTTTTTTTCACCCTTCCTCTCATGACCCAACCATCCAATCACACATTGCCAACTCATCTTTTCTTCACGTGGATTACAAAATCTTCACGTCCTGTACTGTAGCGTACACTAGCTATCCTATTAGACAACTCGACTCCCACACCATGGAAATTTTTATATCTTAAATTAATCAAACGGCGAAACTATCTAACCTGATTCTCTTTCTATGAAATGCGACCGTCAGATCATTGAATTGAAGGAAAAGCGTCAGATTAGAAATAAAACTGAAATCCAACCATTCAATAAAAGAAGAAAAATTGAATTTCAAAATCACTTGAGAGAGGGGGGGAGACACACCCCAAGGGAGAAGAACACCAAGCAAACCAAAGCCAAAGCCAAAGCCGAAAGCCCCCACCCCCCCACCCCC